AACAGCCAATCAAAAAAGAACTATAGACCCTTCTCTCTAATGAACATTAGTGCAAAAATCTTCAATAAAATACTAGAAAATAGAATGTAGTAAATCATCAAGTAGATTATACATGACCAAGCGGGACTTATCCTAGATATGCAGGAATGGTTCAACATACATTAGTCAATAAATATAATTCACCACATTTATAAAAGTCAAAGACAAAAAACATGATCCTCTCAGTAGATGCAGAAAAAGTTTTTGATAAAATCCAACACTTTCATGATAAAAATCCTATAGAAATCCAGAATCAATGATATCTACTTCAATCTGATAAAAGACATGTATGACAAACCAACAGCCAACATCATACTAAATGGACAAAAACTGAAACCTTTCACTCTAAAATCAGGAACAAGACAAGGATGTCAACACTCCTATTTAATATAGTTCTTGAAACATTAATAAGATCAATTAAGAAAGAGAGAAATAAAAGGAATAAGGACAGGAAATAAAGAACTTAATTATTTGCTGATGACATGGAACTCTCTATAGGAAAACCCACAAAGTCAATCCAAAGACTTCTAGAGTTAATAAGCAAGTTTAGCAGTACAGATGATACAAAGTCAACACTCAAATTTCTTTTTTTTTTTAAGAGAGAAGAAAAAGAAGAAACAAAAAAGGAAAGGACATAAAAAATGCAGCAAAAGGGTACAAATAATACAGTATTTCTAGAAAAAAATATCTACAGTATGAAGTCATCAGTTAATAGGTTACATATTATCTTCCCAGAAACAGTTGCCCATATCACTAAATTAAAGCATACAAAGTTAACATTCATACAGTGAAATTGGAGACAGCTCCATTTAATGATCCAACAAAAGCTCAGTTATATGGTTTTCCATCCTACACACTCAAGCATACTGCGATTATATCCCTTAGTCCACCTTACTTTCCTCTCTTTTTTACAGTAACAATTAGACTTTTAGGGTTTTATTACTCTCATGGTTCTTATTACTTTTTTGAAGAGAATAAAACCAAATGCAACTAAGCAAAACAGAGTCAGTTAGAACAGAAAGGTAGGCATAGCACGTGACGCAAAAATAGAATACCAGGTGATCAAAAGTGGTTACCATTGTGCCTCTTGCTATTTTTAAATTGAGTTGTCTATATCATCAAGTATAATAGAATTTATCAAAACAGCATGGAACAAAACCAATAAAATCTACACTGAGGACTTACAGGACTTCAAAAAAAAGGATAATAGTCAATCCATATTGGGCATCATAGTATCTTATTGCCTTCAAAGTGATTGCCTATACCCTCAAACTTGATACTATCAAACAAAATAGAATATATAATAATCAGACAGAACAAGATGGGGAGAGCAATACTGGGGTTCAAGTCAGTTAATAGGACAACAAAAAGGTTAGTATAATATGTCCCATTATTTTTTAATTTAGTTTTCCCTTAATTAAAAAAATGAGAGAAGATAGATTAATTTAAAAATAAGGGGAAGATTGAGATAAGAGAGGACATTGTAATAGAGCAACGCAAGGCAGAACCGATCAATTCAATTTCAACAGCAATTCTGTACCTAAACAACAAACTCAGTGAGAAAAATTACATATATAATACCTTCACAATAGGATCTAAACAAAAATGAAGTACTTAGGAATCAATCTAACAAAGCATGTAAAGTAGCTGCACATTGATAAATATAATACTCTAAAGATGGAGATTCAAGAAGTTATCAGAAATTGGAAAGATATACCTTGCCCTTGAATAGGAAAATCCAACATAGTGAAAATTGCCTTTCTCCAAAAACTGTGGGGATGTAATGCAATCCAGATCAATACCATTAAAATATCTCACATATCTAGAGAAAACGTTCCAAAAATTCAGAAGAGACCTAGAATGGCAAAGGCAAAAAAAAATAAGGCAAGAGGCATCACAGCTCTTGAACTGAAATTATACTACAAGTCTACTGTGATAAAATCAACATGTACTCCCAGTGGAACAAATTAGAAGATGCAGACACAACTACAAAGACTCTGAGTCACCTTAGTTTTGACCGATGGATCAAATATATTCATTGGAAAAGAGATAGGCTCTTTAATAAATGCTGCTGGGAAAACTACATGCCAAAGACTAAAACTAGATCCATGTCTAAGACTGTGCACTAAACTAAAGTCAAAATGTGTCAAAGATCTAAATATTTAATTAGAAACACTAAATCTGCTGGAAGACAAGGTAGGTATAAAACTCTGTGATATAGGGTTAGACAAAGAATTACTGAACAAAGTAAAAACCATATGAGGAATATTTCAAACAATAAACAACTGGGGCATAATCATATTAAAAAATTTTTGCACTTCAACAGAAATCACCAACCAAGTAAAAAGACAATCCACAGAATGGGAAAGAATTTTAGCCAGTTGTCCCTCCAAAAAGGATATATATATTACATAAAGAATTCAAAAATATCACTTCCTCAAATTCAAAGACCCAATCTAAAAGTGGGCATCTGAGATAAGCATGCAGTTTTCATTTAAAAAAATACAAAAGGCTCGGCCAGGGATTTAGCTTTGTGGCAAGTGTGCAGTAGTGAGTTCAATCTTTGGTACAAAGGAAGAAAGAAAAAGAAAGAAAGAAAGAAAGAAAGAAAGAAAGAAAGAAAGAAAGAAAGAAAGAAAGAAAGAAAGGGAAATGCATAAATACATGAAGAAATGTTCAACATCACTAATCTTTCAAGAAATGCAAATTAAGACATGACTGAGATTTCATGTCACTCTAGAAAAAGTGACTTCCATCAAGAAAGCAACCAATATCAAATGTTGGTGGGGCTGTGGGAAAAATGAACCCTTCTTCTCTACAATTGGTAGCAATATAGACTGGTACAACCACTGATGAAATAAGTTTGGAGATGCCTCAAAATCTAACATTGGAAGTCCCATTCAATCCAACTATTCCCCATCTGTGTAATTTCCCAGAACTGAAAACATCATGCTACAGTGATATATGTTCACCCATGTTTACCGCAGCACAATTTGTAGTGGCTAAAACTTGGGCACAACCCCAGTGCTCATCAACTAAGGACTGGATAAAAAAAGAGTAGTATATTTAAACAATAGAGTATTAATCAGCTATAAAGAAGGACAAAATTGATATTTTATAGGTAAATGGGTGCAAATTGAGACCATACTCAAAATTAAATTACACTCACGTGTAAATATCATATTGTCTCCATAGTGTAAAAACCACTAAAAAAGTAAAAAGATCAAAAGTGCATGATAGTTATTGTGAAAATGAAAGGGAAAGAAATGCTCAAAGGAAAAACAACTGGAACAGGTGAAAGGAGAAAAGGAAGATATTAAATGTACATAGGTGTACATAGAAATGTGTATATATATATGTATTATATATGTATATGTATATATATATACAGGAAAGGAAGATATTAAATGTACATATGTGTACATAGATATGTATATATATGTATCTCTCTCTATATATATATATGTATACATATACATGTATATAAATCCAAGATAGATAATAGTATTACTAAGCCCTGTAAGTTTATCCAAAGAATAATTTGTGCTTTCATTTTTTGAACATTTATGTATTACATATATTAATATTGCATATTTTTATCTTAGAAGTAGTTGTTCATATTATAAGCTTTAAGCATAAAAATGATCAAAGGGACAGAAAACATGGATGGATTCTTAGATACATAAGAATTACCAAAACTGAATCAAATGATATAGTACACTAAACAACTAAATATCAGTCAATAAAATTCAAACTGCAATTAAAACCTTACCAAAAAGAAAATCACAGGTCCTGATAGATGCATTGCTGAATTCTAAAAGAAATTTAGAGAAGGCCTAATACCACTAATTCTCAAACTTTTTAATGATATTTAAGGAAAACAATACTTCTAAAGTCAAACCTAGAAGCAAATATTATACAGATAACAAAAACAGAGAATGACTCAACTAAATCAGGAAAATTCAGGCCAATCTCTTAATGAATATAAAGGCAAATGTTCTCAAGAAGATGCTGGTAAAAGAATGCAGCAAATCATCAAGAAGAGTATTGACCATGATCAAGTATGATTCATCTGAGGGATACAGGAATGCTTCAATATACACAAATCAACAAATGAAATTTATCATGTCAATAGAACCACTGATAAAAATCACATGACCATCTCAATAGATTATCCATTCATAATAAACACCCTACAGAAAATTTGAATAGAATGCCTTTACCTCAGTCCAATAAAGGTCATATATTGACAAACCAACACCATACTGTTCCCAGTAATCTCAAATGAAAGAAACCCAAAATACATCCACTGATGACAGGGTACACAAAGTGGCATATACTCCCAATGGAATAATACTTAGCCATTAAAATGAAGGAAACTTAAATACCTGTCAAAACATGGATGACTCTTGAAAATATGCTAGATAAAGGAAGCAAGACATAAGCCTGCATATTTTGTGATTCCCTTTCTATTTGATACTCAGAATAGGCAGACACATATAAATTGGGCTAAGTGGTTGCCAGGAGAGTAAGTGGTGTAAGGAAAGGAATGTGAAATGGGTTTGGAATTTATTTTTTAAATTTTTTAAAATTTATTTAAAGAAAAAATTTAAAAAACAAAATGGAAAAAAGCTGAATACAGAATTCAAAAAATTAACATCATAAAATCACTAGTTGTAACATTACATATTGTTAACTTAACAATAGTTGTTAAAGGTACAAAATAAAAGCATAAAAAATGGCTAGACACTCAAACATTGACAGTACAGTCTCTTGGAATTTCTTTTAGAGGGAAGAGCTGTTCGAAAATTGGAGTGTGGATAGTTCCATAACACTATGAATACACTAAATTCCTCCCTACAATGAGTTTTAAGTTCTGTGGATTTTACCTCAGTAAAAACATAAGAATTTAAGGCCACCTGAAGCACATTTAAGAAAATGCAGGATGATGCCAAGCTTACTGAGCAAGACCAGGTTCCTCCAGTTCTCCAACATCATCTCCCTCTATATGACCCTGGGATGGGCCCTGCAATGCTGATTCCTCCTGGATGAAGCCCATGACCACAACCTGAATGGTCACCAGGTACTGAGCCATTGCAAATATCATGGCTCTGACAAGGGTACCTCTTCATGGACCAGAAGGGGCACAGGCTGACACATGATAGGATGTGCAGGAGGGCTCAGTGCTCCTCTCTTTGGCCTAGGGGCTCATATTTCAATGCTCACCTCCTATCTATTTGCTGGCTTCTGGAGCCTCATGTATGAGTCTGTCTGGGAAAGATATTATATAGAGATTACCCCCCCCATATACTTATGTATCCCATTGAAGGGAACCAGTCACTATCTCTTGCCTATCTTTCTAGATTCCCATTGGTACAACAGAATGACAGCAAATGGAGTGACTGAAAACCCTATTGCTTGATCTTTACAACATGGGTTATTGACTGGACACTTAACTAAGCCCACAAAGAGATTTTTTTAACATCTGGGTGGGAGACAGTCCTCTTCACAATACCTATGAAACCAGACTGCCTAATGAGGGAGAAGATGCTAATGACCTTGTGACTTTCAACATTCTTCATAAACACCAATGAGATGCAGGTCATCCTGTGATTTTTAAAGCTCTATTATGGGACACATGCCTTAGTAGCTTATATAAACATCATCAAAATGTCTCAGACCCATTTGATATAATTGTTTCAAGTCTTTGACTCAACCTATGAATATTTTCCTGAATCTTCTCCTTTAGCAAAAACAAAACCTGTTTACCAAGTTTAGCAGAAAACATAACCCAAAACCTCAACATTCCCTCATGCTGTGTCTACAGGGGAACTATCAAGGAAGATAAGTCTGGGGACAACTGCACTCTATCAATGATTTCTTCTAGACACTATTCTTAGTGATACAAGCACTTGGCATTTGAAGCCCTCTATTAAAGGAAGGTACAGTGCTTTTTCTCTTGGGAAAACTCATTGACTCAGTGGGAGAATTAAGTTGTCTAGGACAATGACATAATGAAATCATAGGAAAAACAATGTGGCTGGGAAGCAAAATTGATCATCAACATTAATTTCTAATCTATTTTCTTATTTTTGCTCTCTGAAATACTCTTGGTACAAGTTAGAGCCCCCAAATAGCTGGAAGGTGCCCCTTGTCCTTTACTGGATACGTGGATTACAAACTTATGGACACCTACCAAATAGGTGGACATGAGCATGCATACTAAGGGTGATCAGAGCTTCCTTCTCTTTAGGTCCCTTAAAACATGGACTAGCTTTAGAGTACTGTTTACGGGCAAAATTGACACAAGGTTCAAGATGACAGTAAAAATAAGGAACTGGAAGACTGATGAATGGTACCCAAGAATTATCCAGGATTATAGCTGAGCCAGCTGGATAGAAGACGGCATGTGAGGATATCAGTCCCCATTTTATATGCTTAAATGTATCACAAATATATAAGCAGTACTTGAACTTAATATCCCTAAAGTTTTGAGAGCCTTAAATCTGGTTGCCTGGTAGGTCTTGGAAATAAGAAATACTGTCTGTCAGAATAGGTTGGCCTTAGACTATCTTCTGGCCCAGGAAGGAGGGGTATGTGGAAAGATCAGTCTGATGGCTGCCCAGAGATTGATGACAATTGCAAGATTATCAAGAACATTACTACCAGAATTCAAAAGTTAACCCATGCCCCAGTAAAGGTGGAAAGGATAGTCTCCAAATAACCTCATCAGAGATTGATTTTCATCTTATAGTGGGTTCAAGACCCAGATAAGAATAGTCATAGCCTTCCTGGGTATTTGTCTCATTCCATTTTGTTTCTTGTCCTTACTTGTCATGAACACTCCATCAGCTGTGGAGTCTCTGATTAACAGATACCTCACTACTTATGACTGTCCAAGCACCAACTTCTGTCTGATAGAGAGTCACCCCCACCCAGGATAAATTAAACACATATATTGGTGATTCTCTATATTGCTTATAGAAAATATTAAGGGGAGGAATAAAGTAGAAATTAGAAAAAAATCATTTTTTCCTATTTGAATAGACCATGAATTCTTCCTCCAAAAGTTTCTGCTTCCAGCTCTGTTACAGATAAGATTAACAGCTTCATTCCAGTAAATGGAATCCTGAGACAATCTGGTTTTTCAAAAATCAGCTTTCCTTCAAGTCTGACCTGTATCTTAATGCTGATAAAAGATGACAAGTGTGTTTCTGTAAACTTTGCCATGGGATATCTTGGAATTATCTTTCTTTCAGGACATACAGATAAGTTTGATAGCTGTGTTTCTGTAAACCGAGTCCTGTGACATCCTGGAACTCCTGAAATCAATTTCTTCCAAGACCGAATTGTGTTCTTTCAATGGGTAAATAACTATCTTTATCTGAGCTTCTGTAATTTTGCTTGTACTACCTTCCAGTTTAGCCCAAACCCCCTTGAACAAATTATAAAATGGAAAGTTTCTTCATTGGTTTGGTGCTCATTCTTCTGGACACAAGTCCCACTCTGAGTTACATATATACATAATACAATCATCCTGTTTCCCAGTGGTCCCTCCCATTTCTACAACAATATGACTTCAGACAAGCGTAGACAATATGGGAAGGTTCTGTGACTGCACTGAACTCTGTATATGTAGGGATGAGGCAGTCTTAATCTTTTTAAGGCATTGTACCTAAAGATATGTTAATGAGGATGGACCTTTCCAGGTCATTTTGCATGCTCTTCCTCAATCCATTTTCATCACTCAAATGACATCTGTGGAAATAGCTCATTGAACTAGTTTTGGGACAAATTCTGCCTAAAAGGATGAGACTCTTGGGGACTTGTTATAGTGGACTTAAATGAAATAATGCTTCCTAGAGTTAAAGTGACCTTTAAACATTTCCCTTCTTCTGTTTTTCACCTGGGCACCAGACCACACGTTCAGACTTTCAGGAGACATGGTGAAAAAATTTCTTCAGGAGAGTGGATGAGGTTTGGCTAAAAGAAGTCACGATTATTAAAGACATTTACCCCCAGGATAAGCAATAAAATACACAGACATATATTTACACATTTATACATATGTACATACTATGTACATTACCAGGCTATAACTGTAAGCTCAGTTTTGAGACTCAACTCTTGTAGACACTTGAAAGATGTTCCTTTTGAATGTCATCTTGTGCTGAAGCTTCCTATCTGATGGTACAACTGGCTAATGACGACTGCCTTCTCACTGAGAGTATTCATATCCACAAGGATGGAAACATGGTGATCCAATTAATTTTTCTCCCTTTATGCTCATGTCAGGTTTTTTGAGACAAGTGGTATTAAGCCTAGCAGTCAATAAGTACGCTGGGTAGTAAGTGTATTTTTATTTTCTAATTTGCTATGTGAACATCAGGGTTGGCAATGGCTCAGGGTTGTGAAAGGACAGATTGCTACTCTGTATCTGCACCGTCCTCACCCAAGCTTGCACAAGCCTCTCTTCTGTTCTCTTTCTTCACTTTTGAAAGTGGAAAGGAGAGTTTCTTTTAGTGTTTTTAGCTTCCTATTTTCAAGAGTAGGCCTGAGGGAGGCAGAATAATTGCTCTTGTATCATATATGCAACTCTTACTGCCTGACATGCTGCTGCATGACAGTATGCCATTAAATTAAAAATCAGTCCTACTCACTGCATTGAGCTCAATAGTATGATGCTGAATTAAATTATTATCTCACTCATAAAATCCATAGTCTGATAATATTTTGTTCATTTCAATGAAGGTTTTTGCCCTCAGTGTTGTTTATACTCCACCTGCTTAGACAGTTTTCTTTAATTTTAATATCAAAAATAGAGCATACAAATGATACAGAATTTCAAAACAAAATAATGGGAAATTTATACTAGTTAATATATTGCATATTGTTATCATCAAAGTAGTGTTCTGATTATGAGATTTAGGCAAAAATTGATCAAATAAAAACACAAACTGTTCATTTTGATTAAGGAAGGTTAGCAGTATATTTATCTGTATTAGAGTACTAAATAAGTATGATGGAAAGCCAATATTTTCTTTTACTTTATATCATTGGAAATGATCTCCATGCAGGATTTTTCAAATATCTGTATCATACAATATTCCAAGCAGATCAATTTCATGGTTAGTATTGGTCATGCTCTTTTTACATGAGGTGTGTGGGAACTAAATGATCATTTGTCAGTGTAGTACAGTCACTAGTGCAATGTAAGCTTCCACCACCTTTAGGCCTACACTGTCAATCAAATAATAAAAGCATTAAACTGTTTTTGTACCTCAGTTGCTATCATCCCAGCCTATGTTAGTCCAAATTGGTCAGTTGCCTGGGTATGAGGAGCCTTCTTGTCTCCCAGTCTGCCTGCTGGTTGGATCATGTGAAGGGTAGATTAATGTTTTGGTTCTTCTTTCAGCCTACCCTAAATTCTTAGCATTTGTTTTGTATGAAATTTTGCCAATTTATCATAACAGTTCTGAAGATGGCAGCTTGATAGGTAGCAGGGTGGAGAGCCTCTCTAAGAAAAACAACTCAGATGCCAGAATTTAGCAACATGGAGAAGACCAGACAAAAGGAGAGAGATTCTCGTGACCAGGTAGAAACTGGGGAAAAAGAAAAAGAAAGAAAGAAAGAAAGAAAGAAAGAAAGAAAGAAAGAAAGAAAGAAAGAAAGAAAGAAAAAATATGGATGACAGGCTGGAACCAGACGCGTTCACTGGGACTGGTCCCATGCTGTGTTGGGTGCACTGTGGAGTCAGGTGATTCATGGTCACACTGAAGCCATGGTCTCCGAAATCAGGAGTTGATGAGTCCAGGGCCTTTGGTGGGAGGATGCAGTGCAGCATAGAGTGGAGCCAAGGTGGAGAACTGCATTAATTAGTAGTGAGTGCTGGAAATTGGGTCCCATGGCAGGTGGCACAGGCTGGAGGACATATTGGAGTTGGGTAGGATAAGCCTGAACCTGGAACCACAATGGTGTCAGTCAGCCTCTCCTAGCCCAAAGAGGACTGGTGGGATCTGCTTGGGCTGAGTCATGCCCGTGGTCAGTACCCAATAGCCAGGGACAAAACTGTCTTATACTAGTGGCATCCACAAAGCACAGAGAAAT